TAGGACACACAAGATCAAATATGAATTTATATTGATGTACATTCATGAAATCTGAACTCAGGAAGACAGTATAGGTCGAAATAGAAGTGGCTTTGTGAAATGGGAAAAAGAGACATAATTCTTGTTTAACAGGATTTTTAGAATACTACCAAAGTTCTAATCCCCACAAAGCAACACAACAAAACCCAAGATAAAGCAAGTGAGAAAGGATGTTTGCTCTCCCTAACAAAGGGAGAGAACAGACAATGTCAAAACTGGTGAGATGGTTTCTGTCTTATTTTAAACAGAGACACAGTGATTCTTGGAGAATCTAATAAAGTTTGAGCTTGTACTCTGATACTCTTTTACTGACAACCTTTCTGCCCTGACAACTCGATAAATCAGTGGGCTCAGGGCCTGTCTAGACCCCAGCTTAAAAAGATGGATCTGGATGATTAGAGTTTGATACTCTGAGATCCAGACTTTTCAGAAAAATAGGTGAATTTGTTGCCTCCCCAAAGTCTTGGATCAGAGGGATAAAATGCCGACAAGGGCTTGAGATCCTTAAGAGGAGAATTCTGATGGTCCTATCTAATAATCTAATGAAAACCTAATTAAGGTTAAATAACTTCAACTAACAGTAGTTAATGGCACTACGGTGTTGAGCCTTGTTTCACTTGCTGTATATTTGCTGTTTACTGTGACTCCTGATCATTTTAAGCTAGGCTTGAATAAAACCAGCTCTGCTCATAGTCCCACTTTTCCTCCTTACAGCAAGAATTTTGAAAAAATAGAAAAGAAAGAAAAACAATAAAAAACCAGGAAGATAAAATAAAAACAAAAAAACTCAACCCAACATATTCATAATTTCAAACAAGTATGACTGTGCTCTTTTGGGTGTATTATTTGCAAGTCTTTATAGATACAGTAATTTTTTTTAATATAGTTACAGTCATAGTTGACATCACTTTGATTTCCACTTTTAACATGAAATTGTTGAGAACGTTAACAACGTTAACGTTCTCAACATGGAGCTGGGGCTGGGGTGTGTGTAATTTTCACCTTCCATGGGGCCATTTGGCAAAGACTGGAGACGCTGTCACTGAAGAGCGGGTTGTGTTACTGGTACCCAGTGGGTGGAGGCTAGTGGTGCTGCTCAACATCCTACGATGCCCAGGAAAGCTCTGGCTCAGAGTGTTGAAGTTGAGAAATCCTGTGTTAAACCTTTTGTACTAAATCACATTTCTAGGATGAACAGGCATCATTTTTTTTAAATGCCGGAATTAAACCCCTCACAATTAATTGAATTGTTTCTCTGATTGTTTCTAGTTTTTCTCTAGGACATCCTCACTCGATTTTTTTTCTTCCCCTGCTGAATTATTTCCTTAGGATAAATCCCCAAAAGTCAGAAATGCTGAATCAATGGGTATGAATATTTTTTCATGTTATACAAATTATATTGCCATTTTCCCTTACAAGTGGTTTGAATCAAATTACAACCCTCCAGAAGTGTATAAGTGTACCAGTTTTGCCAAAAACTCAACAGTACTGGGTGTTATCATTAAAAAAAGGTGAGAGGTGGCACATATCTCAGATATAAAATTGTACCTCCAGTTTGCCTCAATTTGAATTTATTTATTTACTTATTTTTCAATTTGAATTTAAATTGCTACTCAGAAATGAATATTGTTTCCATATTTGTTTTCTATTACTATCATTTTTCATATGAATTATTTATGTCTTTTGCTTATTTTTCTAGTTGGTTTTGTTTTCTTCTTATTTTTAAAAAAGATTTACTTATTTTTTTTGGTTGCTCTGGGTCTTTGTTGCTGCACACAGACTTTCCAGAGCTACTCTCTAGTTGCGGTTCTCGGGCTTCTCTCACTGTAGCAGCTTCTCTTGTTGCGGAGCGCAGGCTCTAGGGCATTCAGGGGGGCTCACAGGCTTATATGCTCTGTGGCATGTGGGATCTTCTGGGACCAGGGATCGAAACTGTGTCCCCTGCATTGGCAGGCAGATTCTTAACCAATAGACCACCAAAGAAGCCCAATATTTTTCTTTTAAAATTGAATGTGATCTTTACCAAGCATAGATAGTAATGCTGCTGTAGTTACTGCAATTATAATTATTTCTTACTTTTTTAAAGAAAGTTTTACTTTCTCCCCTCTGAAGAAAGATATGTTAACCCTTCCTTATAGAATTTTAATTTACACTTTTAACAATCTTTTTAGGTTCCGCTCACCTCACCCAACCTTTGGCCTCTTACATAGAGAGGCCCTGGGGAAGAGGAAAATCTTCTCTAGTGATTGAGGTCAGCCACCGAGGTAAGGGCAGGGCTTCGTTTCTGACGGTATCCCAGGAACTAATTTCCCTTAATCAAATGAAATGCCTTAGGAGGAGCCACAAGGCAGAAAGGAAAATACATGTGAAGAATGCCAAATTCTGTGAGGAGTTTGAAGGACCTGCATTTAAAAAAGGGCACCATACCTTTAGGACTTCAGAACCGGAAATGTTCCACATGCAGCTATTAATATGCAAAAAATGCCTTCATAAATACTCGATTCTGTTCACAGTGGGGAAGCAGCTCATTTGAAAGAGGAAGTGGGAGCTTGGAGTTGAACATGTCTGCTTGTGTCCTTTTCCTTTTTTTCTTTTCTCATCTCCGAATTTCCTCTTGTAGATTTCTTCCCCACTCTTTCCCCAACTAAACCCCCTCCTTCAACTCCTAGGAAGTTGTTGATGTCGGTCTCTGCTCATCTCTATTTGTGGATTTACCGCCTAGGCCCTGATGCTCGGCCAGGTGCGGAAGAGGCGCCTCGGGAGCGAGCCCACGGCCTGCCGCCTGTGGGCTGGAGGCGAGAGCTCTCCGCCTCCTTCTCATCCTCACGGCGAACACCGCCTCTTCGCAAACGCACAGCGGAGCTTTTAAAATCCAACCGCTAGGGGGCACCAGAGGCAGCCTCCAGAACCGGGTAAATCCAGGCGCCCAGGCACGTCCTGCAAAGCGCCGTCTGGCTGTCTTTCTCACCCACCCGTCAGAAATGGTTTTCCAAATCGACGTGTGTGACTTCTCATTTAAAGCACGGTGATGCCAAAAGACTCCACCTTTGGGTTTTGCCCCCTCCTCTCAGCACACTGATAAAAAAGTAAAAGTATCTTATGTGACTGAACTCCTACTAAGGTCAGATCCCAGGGGTGGGAGGGGGCGGCGTCGGGGGGGGGGCGTCGGGGGTGGGAGTGGGGATTCATGGAAAGGAAAGAAGAGCAGAAACTGCTGGCGCTGATAAAGATCAATTTTGTGTGATATCCTAGCCTGCTTCAGAGAGGGAAGGCGACAGTGGAAGGAATCTGCTATGTTTGTCAGTGGCCCATCAAGGTACATAGCTGAAATCCGCTGGGCAGAAATTTGTTTCTAAATCCTTTCCAGATGCTTTATAGTAAACATGAAATTAGCCATTTACATGGAGTAGGTTGAGGAAGTAGTTAAAGTTGAAGTCAGTGATTAATCTAATAAAGAGCCACTAGCCTCAAGAAGTAAGGGGGTGAGGAAGGCGTGGAAGGCACCTCCCCCTCGCAGGCCCTACCCCCATTTTCTCTGGGTTTGGAGGCTGGTGAGACTTCCTAGACGTTTCCTTGATGGCTTTCCTTTCTAGGACCACTTCTCAAGGAAGTAAGACTACTGCGACTTGAACAAACCAACAGGTTCTGGTGGGAACAACTCCCGTCCTTTCACAAAGCGGGGGTTCAGGCAAGTCTCAGAGTGAGTGGGTTTACCAGAGCCTCACAGGGGAAACCCAGGATTAGAGTTGAAGACCCTGGGTCTGGTGTTCCTCTTTCTGGCTGCAAGGTTAATAATTCAGTCTAGGATTTAATTTGACATGGCTGAGCCACTCTTATTGCAGGTGATATGAGGTCTCCTGGAATATAACGACAGGGCTGTGCGAATTTGGAGTACATGAGGTATTTGCAAGGCCTTTGGAGTTGTGGAATTATTGAAATACAGCATATTTTCCTCAGTCACAGCCTCTCTTGAAAAAGAAAAGCTTCCACATTCCATATAAAGGGTTTCTTCAAAGCAGGCACATTAAAAAAAATGCAAATGTTGGTTGTGTGGGTCCTCAGTAGCAGGAAGGGTCGACTCAGTTGTGTTTTAGCTCAGGGGAGGCCTGACCCAGGCCTGCGGTCCTAACAGCGAGAGTTCAGGTCCTTCCTCAGAACCAACTAGGCACACACAGGGAAACAAAGCTACTTTTATTATTACTGTTTTTTAACGAGTGTGAGCGAAGAGGAGAAAGCCAGGAAGTTGGAGATAAGGGAGAAATAGAGGCCATGTCGGTTCATCTCTCAACCACCGGCACCCCTCCAAACCCCCCCTGCCCCGGCTGTCACTCAACAGGGAGAGCCCTGGGCTGTGCTGTGTCTGCTGAGACCCGCGAAGCTCTAGGAAATACCCTGAGGTACCTCTCTAGAGTGAATCTCAAGGCAGTGCCGGCTTCAAATCTTTAATTGAAGGAACTAATTTATAAATATTTGTGAACATATGTCCTTGAATCACTAATAAGTATTCTTAATCCACCCAGATAAAGCATTTTTTTCCTTTTTTCACAGTCTCCTTGCATTTTCTCCTTAGTTGCTAGTATTTTCTCTCCCCATTAGGAATGAGAGTTAGAGTAGGAATAATCAGGCCCGTTGGCACAAAGTCTTCGTCCTCACTGCCTCCATGGAGAATGCCTTTCTGTGTTTCCCTGTTCCCTTTTGACTTTGCAGAAGTCAGGGAAAGGCCTATTCAGCTTATTCGCGCTTATGAAGAGCCAGACAAAACAGTTCAAGTTGAGTTAAGACATTCCAAGTCTATGAGTTAAAACCTCTGTGATTTTATAGTCTGCTTGTCTCATTTAATTGATGAAGCAAATGAGGCCCAGAGAGGTGAAGAATCTCACCCAGGGTCACACAGCAAGCAGGGACAAGAACCTCAAAGTCCCGACTCCCAGTCACTTGCTCATGCAGAATCAATACTGTACCTGATTCTCTGGCTTTTGAGTCAAAGGTGAGGTCTCATTAAGGTTCATATGAAGATCTGTTCTGTATTCTGTGTTTACTATGATGAAAATCAGAGAGAAAAGGGTCAAGGTTGTCAGATATAGGTCTCATGAATTTTTATATATACCATACACATACACACCTAGTTCATATGTGTAAGACTATCAACACACACATACTTATGGCATTCATATTTACTTACCAAATAACACATGTAACCTCTACAGGCACAGTTTAAATGCTCCATTTAGTAAAGTGTTATAGACCTTATATTCAAATTTCTGTTTTTCTTGTTTTGGTTGCTCTTTAAAAGTACAAAAGTAAATTCTTTGTGCTACTAAAATTCAGATAAAGCTGAAATTAAAAAGGAAATACTGATGGAAAAAAATCTGCTGATACTGTTGAATATAAATTTTGTATGATCCTACTTCACTGAAGTAGGAAGATGCTTCTGCAACCTTCCAGAGAGAGAGATCAGAGCCTTCCCTTTTCCTCATTATGTGGAGGGGCAACAGGAGAGGTGGAAACGCAAGCAAACAAAGGCAAAGGTCAAAACGGGGCTGGTGGGAGGGGACGAACAGAAATCTTGCCGCTCACCCAGAAGCAGGCACAAATGGACAACCACATGGGGCTGGCGTGTAACCTTCATGACTCTCTGCCATGGTCGTACTGTCATACTCTCTATAGCTGTGGAAGCTGAGGCTCAAAAGATAAAGTAATCCACCCAAGGATGTGCAACTAGTGAGGTTTTGAGTAAGGATTTGAGTCCAAGACTGCCTGACTCAAACTTCATGCTGCTAGAGGCAGGATTTATTTTGTTTTTCTTTTTTTCCCCAAAGAAAGTAAATTTCATGTCTGTAAAGGAATGTTTATTTGAGGAACAGATTCAGCTAAGTGCATGGCTCCTCTGAAAAGGATTTTAGTCTCTTGTGCTGGACTAGTGTCCAACACAAAGTTCTTTACATACTTGCTACTCCTAAGTGGTTCTGTGAAGAGTCCAGCCATATGCAATTCTGCATCTTTGCCTCTTTGACCTGAAGCCTCTACTTTTTCTTTGTGGCCTGACTTTCCCTTTCCTGTTGTTTCTCAGCTGTTCTACCTTGCTGGAAAACGGCTTCTGCACAGATTGAAAACTTTTGTTATTTGAGATAACTGGGGAAACTGAGGCCCAGAGAGTGATTTCATATGATCGGCTCAAGGCCATTTCTTGAAAGAGCGTGAGACCAGAACTTGAACCCAGACCTCCTGACTTAGTACCTCCTCCTTTTCCCCTCCACCTCACGCCTCCTCCTGTTAGCCTCACTTGATCTTGCCACATCACAGCTGCTTGGCCCTGAGCCATCCTCTGGACAAATCCAGCCCAACAAAATTGCGTTGCGATGAGGTTCACTTGACGGTGGCTTGGAAGGAACCATGAGTCTCTTAGAAAAGAAACTTATAAATTCTAATGCATAAGGAAAGTTCTTGCAACACCAGGAGAATGAATCAGTCAGCCAGAGTTCAAGAAATGTAAACACGTTTTTAGATAGGAGACTGAAAAATTGCTTAAGACTTCTCCATCTCTTGGGTCAAGACCCTGGTAATTTACTGAGGTCCAAGCTGTCAAGGCGGAGACACAACTCAAATTGCATTCCTGGGAGATAGAGCAATGGGGGTGGTAACACTTCCTCTCTGAACCATGTGGCAGGATCTGCCCCTCTTATCAAGCTGAAGAAACTGACTAACCCATCAACCATCGCAGGCAACTGGCTGTGAATACAGGCACAGTTCTTTCCCATTATTCCTGAGCTGGTGTGTACATTCACAGACCACAGACTACACAACTTCCAGGCCTGCCTGAAACTGGGAGCTCAAAGTCTTTTTGTGATGACCATTTCTGCCACTGAAGAGATAAACAAAAAATACATTCCTTCCCCTGCTGCCCATCATCGGGCCCAAGTAGATTTTCAAATGCTAGCATTAATCTAGCGGCAGGCTTTTAGCAAGGAGATAGCATTCCTGCCAGATAATCAGGCAATTTCAGAGATGACCCTTACTAGGTGGGGTCTCATCCCAAACCTCTTCTGCCTTCTTCAAATCATGGGATCCTTCAGCAAACACTCAAAACTTGAAAAACAGAAAAGAGCATCTGCTACTAGCATGCAATATAGGTGCCTTAAAATTTCCCTCAATTTCGAGAGTAGAATGGAAATATATACTCTACACTACCATAGGTAAAGCAGATGAAAGTGAGTGAAAGTGTTAGTTGCTCAGTCATGTCCGACTCTCTGCAACCTTATGGACCATAGCCTGCCAGGCTTCTCTGTCCATGGGGATGCTCTATGCAAGCATACTGGAGTGGGTTGCCATGCCCTGCTCCAGGGGATCTTCCCAACCCAGGGATCGAACTCACGTCTCTTATGTCTACTGTACTAGCAGGCGGGTTCTTTACTGGGAAGCCCTGGACATATGTATACCTATGCCTGATTCATGTTGATGTATGGCAGAAACCAACACCATATTCTAAAGCAATTATCCTTCAATTACAAATAAAAATATATTAAAAATTTTCTTCAATTTCAACCTATGTTATTGTTGCTGCTGTTCAACCTATGTTGGCCACGTTTAATTCCCAAGTTGTTGTTTATTGTTTTAAATAAAAATGAAACATGGCTATATTTATTCTGATTGTTTCAGAATACTTATTTCTCTTGGTATAGGATGCTCATCTGATATCAACATAGAGACTGAAAGTCACCTTATCAGGCAGAGTGGGCCACCTGATTCCTTCCCAGTTGTGTGTCAGCACTTGTGAGAGAATGTTAGATCTGCAGGCTCCAAAGGGGTCAAATGCTGGGTGGGTATGAGGGCAGGAGCTATCAAAAGTGCTGGCGGGAGCCTCTTAAATTATGCATAGCATCTTTTCCCACCATGCTGTTTCTGAGGCGTGAGTACCCTTTGACCGCTAATGTTCACTCATGGAACTGCCCCCATAACTTGCAGCGGTTCATCATTGAGGGGATGTATCCAATGCCAAACAGATCTCAGAAAGTACTTCTGCCTTCCCACAGCTTTGCATGTGGACTTGCAGCAGAAACCAGTGTGAGGAGGCTTAAAAGTCAGCCTTCGTACCTTCGTGGTTTTGTGTTTTTGGTCAAAAATGGAAAATGCAAAGGCAAATTCTGGATTGTTAAAAAAAAGTGTTTCCAGTAGAAATGAAACCATAAAAGGAAGGATAATACTGGCCCTTTTACATAGCCCTGCTGACCTCTCCTTAAGAATAGTATCTAAAAATACTTTATTTTATATGATATGACTCAAGATGCCTATGACCTGTAGAGTTTTTGTTGGGTTATAATAAATCTTGAACCTGTTTGTTTAATGCAGGAGATCAAGACCCAAGATGGCCTTTTGGTATTGTCATTATCAAATTCTTGGAACAAGATTTAAGGTCTTGTTTATGCTACACATTTTCACTTTAAATCTTCCTGGATGAGGAGGAGGATGAGATGGGAATATCAAACAGTTGCTTAAGACCTGTGAAAGTCTCCAGCCTAAAGACATACCCCAGGGAGCTCTATTAAAGGAGCCAAGTAGACAGATCTAGAAGATATGAGTCAGTCTGGATTTAAATATGGAAATGTCTAGTTAAATGCAAGGACATTATTTTTCTTCCAATTTGAAATAACTTTTTTAACTTACTTATATCTTCTTAGATCAAGGCTAACTCAGTCTTAAGAGTCTAGCTTTGGGAATACCAACTTCTCTCAAAAGTTCATAAATTACTTTTTATGGAAAGGTCCAAAGGTGCATGGCAGTTTACCAAGCCCCAGATGGAAGGCAAATTGAAATTCAAGTTGTGTAGCAATAAAATATCAACTACACTAGAAATCCTCCAATTGACATACATCATATGACTAATAAGGATACTTGTGGTAGAAGATGGCATGGAAGAAGGGAATTCAAAGAAGAGGCTGAAGGTGGAGCTACATACAGAGTGGCCAATCAATTTGGTTCGACATTCTGCGGAAAATACTGTCCTTGGACACTTGCTTTCAAGCAAGTGTAGATCTCTGGTCTTACCCTGCTCAATCTGTTGTCTACATAGTTGGGAGAGTCATTTCTCTAAAATAAAAACCTTCTTATGTCAGTTTGTGTGTAAACAGGATCTCACAGCCTTTAGGATAAATGCCTTAGTTGCTACCTATGAGCCTTCATGATCTGCTCCTGTCTACCCCACCAGCAGCATTTCTCACCACTTCCTCTCTTAAATGTACCCTGAGGTCCAGGCACCTACAAGCTACTTACATTTCTCCCATGCCACCATGCTTTCTAACCTTCTTATGGTCCCTTTTCCTGGAGCATTCTTTCATCTTTGATATGGCTAGTTCCTATCTATTTCCTTAGAAACTCAGCCTTCTTAACCTCCAGACTGAGTTAGCCTGTTCTCTTCCATGTGCTCTCAGCACACTCCACTTGTCTGGGTGACTTTAAAGCATGGACTTTATCTCTCAACTCTTTTCTTATGCCCAGCACATTTTTCGGCATTAGTATATGGTCTATTAGTGTTTGTTGGATGAATGAATGAGCAATCTTTATGTGTCCTATAAAACAGATGCTTTTTCTAGGATTCTTTCCATTGGACATGTTCTGATGCTGGTGTCTTCATTAATTTTCAAATGAGGAATTTCTAGGAATGAAGATGACCGCAAATGTAAATCCTCTGGCCATAGGGAGATGTGTGAAAGAAGCAAGAGAGAAACCAGGAGAAAAAAAATCCTTAAGAAGACCTCATGCTTCTTTATGGTCTTTTTTTGAGAAGGGAACACAAATGTGTGGAGAGTGATGAAACAGAAAACAGTATTTATGGATTACTAGTTAATAAAAGATCACTTTTTATCACTCTGACAGGACAAAACTTAATATTCTTAACTTTATTATAGCTGATACACACACACAGACATCTTGAAATCCATACCAGCCTTAAAGTGCATTGTGCTAAGCATGACTTCACTGCTTGAGCAAGGCCCTGATCCCTCATGCATGTCATGCACTTAATGGACAGTGGATCCTGCTACTATAGAAAGGACACTTCCTGAGCATTCCAGGAATCCTTAGATTTGTGAATACTCCGTGTGTGTATCACATCCCCAGTAAAACTAAACTAAAAATGAAAAAAGAGGGGGAGCTCTTCAGACTCTTAATGAGTTGATAAATATATAGGATTTGAATGATTTATAAAACTATTTTTGGCAGAGAATCATCAAATTGTTAGACCACTTCACTTTCTCTTAATTCCATTACCAGTCACAGCAGTTGGTATATATATATATTTAGTTGGTATATTTTTTAGGGCTGTTAAAAAACAATCAAGAACTTCCCTGGTGGTGTAGTGGATAAGAATTCACCTGCCAATGTAGGGGACACAGGTTCGATTCCTGGTCTTGGAAGATTTCATATGCCCTGGAGTAACTAAGCCCATGTGCCATAATTATTGAGCCTGTGCTCTAGAGCCTGAGAACCCCAACTAAAGCCTACGTGCTACAACTACTGAAGCCTAGAAGATGTGCTTGGCAACAAAAGAAGCCACTCAATGAGAAAGAAGCCTGTGTACCACAATGAAAAGTAACCCCAGCTCCTGGCAACTAGAGAAAGCCGTGGGCAGCAGCGAAGACTCAATACAGCCCCAAACAAGAAAACAATGTTCTTCTTTAAAAAAAAATTAACTTCACAAGAGCTCCTGCAGATGTTACAGTGAATATAGACCACAAGGCTGAGATTGCTTTAGTGTACTCGCTAGCTTCTATTTCTTAGCCTGGCCATATCTATAACTTGACTTCTTACCTCTGTAAAATGATAGATTGTATGTGTCCCTGACTTCTGAAGTCACTTGCAAATAGTCAAAAGTGTCCTTCAAGTACATAAATACCTAAAGTCTGTCATCTATATAATTTTAAAAAATCCTATCATTTTTATCTGAAAATACTCCTTGGGGCGGAGATCTAGATGGCAGAAAAGAAGGACGTGGAGCTTACCTCCTCCCACAAACACATCAAAACTACATCTATATGTGGAACAATTGTCACGAAAACTATTTCTTGAAATCAAACGGCCAAGAAAACAAAAAGTTGTTAAAGCTCTATAGATTCCAATGAATAGATGTTTTAAATTGCTCTTTAAACTCAATCCCAGTGGGTATCTGGCATTTTCAGAGTAGTATTACATCCATTTTCTTAAAAACAAATGGGAGTGTTAGGTCTAAAGAGATGTAAGAATTTTTTGTTAGGGTCTTTGAGCAAATCAAGGGAACAAATAAGTTTCCTCTATTCTAAGCCCTGAAGTAGGTACTCTATGCTTCTATGGGTAGTCCCATCGGAATGGGAGTTGTCATTTAATGGGGATAGACTTTCAGTTTTGCAAGATAAAAAGAGTTCTGGAGACTGGTTACACAACAATGTGAATCTACTGAACCCTACTGAACTGTACACTTAAATATTGTTAAGATGGAAAATTTTATTTCATGTGTATTTTGCCACAATTAAAGAAATGTCTGGGGACAGAAGGAGATGAGGAATTATGCTCCAGGCAAAGGGAACAGTGTGTTCAAAAGCTTGGAAATGAGAAAGAGATTTGCATTAGCCTAAGGTCTTTCAGTTACTAGGAATAGAGAAGAGAAGGAATTAGAAGTTTTCTTTCCTTCCCCTGGATACAAAGCTTGCCATGGGGCAGTTCTGAAAAAGCTCAGGTTTGTCTTTGGCACTTCACCACTTCCCTTCTTACACTTTTCTTCTCGAGTCTCTTTTTCCATTTAGCTAATATTTTCCTGTTCATCCAAGCCCTCCAATGTACCACAACTACCAGAAATGTTTCAACTCTTAAAGCTCCACTTATTCCCAAATTCTCCAACCTTCTTTCCATCCCATCAGAATTTTTAGTTGCTCAGGGCAGCTGTTCTCACCAGGTTGTGAGAGGACAGTTACCTGATTAAACGCATTTTTACTAAAGTGTGAATGACCGTTAGCTTCTCAAAAGTATCAACCTTTTAAGAGACTACTTCAGAATTCAAAGTGAATCTATTATTAGTGAGATTTTAACAGTAGAATGAAGTGAAACTGTACCATTTTCAGCCATATTAGGAAGAATATTTTTGATCTGGAGAGCTCTCCTTAAACAGGCTTATCTGGCTTGATAATCTATCTTGGAAGTTTGGTTCTCCCAAACTGTTCTGACTTCGTTTCAACTTCTTTCCATATCTCTAACAGTTGTAAATCATTTTTGGTGTTATCCACAAAAAAGTGTCTGATGCTGAGTAAGGGTCATTGAAAGGTGAAAAGGATGTGCAACAGAAATCATTTATTAGTGTGAGTCATTATTAAGTCAGGAACTTCCTAAACTCCTGTATGTTAGGCACAAACATACCTGTCTATTCTATTTTACATTTTATTTAAGGATAGTTGATTTACAATGTTGTGTTAATTTCTACTTTACAATTAAGTGATTATATACCTTACAATAAAGTGATATTTTTTTCTCTTATGGTTTATCACAGAATATTGAATATAATACTCTATGCTATACAGTAGGACCTTGTTGTTTATCCATTCTCTATACAATAGTTTCCCTCTGCTAATCCCAAACTCCCAGTCCTTCCCTTCCTCACCCCTCCTCCCCCTTGGAAAACACAGGTCTGTTCTCTGATTCTGTAAGTCTGGGAAACATGCCTGTTTAGACTGATGTCACCACTAACCACGCATAGTGTTAAAAATACAGGTTCCTGTGGTTCAGATCCCAGCTTCACCAGTTAGGTGTACAACCTTGGGCTAGTCACTTCACCTCTCTGAGCCACCTTGTCTTAGATGAAAAGTGAGGACAATGATAGAATTTACCTCTTATCATTGCTTATGAGGATGAAGTGATCTAATGAATGTGAAACATTCATCACAGTGTTTGGCATGTGGAAGATAGACAGCGATGGGAGTTATCATCTTCATCATCATCACCCTTCCCTGGAGGGCTCCTAAGAAGAGCTGCTTTGACCCAGTTCTATCCCAACAAGTGAGAATGAACAGAACTGACCCTGGTGCTCTTCCGACCATGATCAGGATGTCCACCCAAGGAGCATGGCGAGAGGACCAATGCGGGGCTCTCTGCTGCTCCTCTGCTTACAGATTTTGACATTGGCAAGCATGTGACAGTGTTTTCTCCTTCTAGTTTTGTGGTCTCTAGCAAAACCAGTGCCCTCCACCCATCTGGCTCCAGCCCTCTCTCTGTGGCCTCACTTCCTGTTGCTATAGCAGGTCTCTCAAGCAGGATTCATCACTGCCTATCCCAAAATAAGCAGTGAGGAAGACCACACACACTTCTCCATTAATCAAAGACTATTTTTAGGAGTGAGAGAAAAATCTTTACATGATCATCCTTTCCCCTGGTTTGAGGCAGAAGCAGCAGCTGCAGCAGCTGGAAGATGAACTTCAAAGTCAAACCTACACTCCCAGTTTTTGCTTATTTCTCCACGGGGGAAACGAAATGGAAAAGGAAGCATGGAAGAGGCAGAACTGACCTCACTCTTGCATTTAGAACACAAGCCCGAGAACCTTTTCCGGATAGTTTTTTAGTTTGTGGGTGTGAAATTTGAACTGTGCCCAGCCCTGGGAGGCAATCCTCACCTCGTTATAATGTGAACTGTGCAGCGTTTGCAAACCCCACAGGGCATGTGTGCAAATTCTCCTTTGGGAGCCAGCTCAGCACAGGCATTTGGTCTGACTCTTCTTCTCCCCTAATATCTACACTCAGACCACAGCACCAAGACTGCCCATGAGTAACTCTAGAGAATGCTGTATTTCTCAGACTTTCTATGAAAGGAATCTTATTTCCTACTTACTGCTATATTTGGGGAGAAACTGTGTGCTTCTGGAGGTCTGGGGATGAAATAAAATGTATATGAGTTCAATAACACAGGAGAAATAGAGTGACTCTTTAGGGGAAAAATCTTACCTTTTAGTAGATGTTGAATACTAGATTCCTCCTCTCCGTGGACGGCATTTGAACTGACAGATTCATAGGCTGAAAAACAATAAGGGTTTTACCTGAGTCTATGAAAAAAGTCTTGCAAAAAAAGCTATTTTCTTTACCCCAAGATGGGGGAAAACACAGTGGGATGTCTTGATGCCTAGGTCTCCTAAAGAATTAGTTTTGAAAACCCTTAGATGCCATCATTGAGGGAAGGCTGATCTAGGATTTAGAAAGCATGTAAGAAATAATATTTTTATTTGAGACGTTGAGGGTGAAAGCCTGTAAGTACTGTGACGTGTAAATTCGGAGAGGCGAACCTGCGACAGAACAAGAACATGAAGCAGTTAACTCCTGACACCCGCTGTGAGGAGATGCCCAGATCTGAACAGCAGATGTGCCGTGGGGGCCCCAGTGCGGGCAGCGCTGGGGGGATGACAGACAAGCGTGAGGAACCCCTGCCTCCAGCTGTAGCCAAATTCAAGGGTTGGACCAGGGAGACAGGAGGGCTTCTAGCCCATCTGATTCTGGCCAGAAAGACAGGCAGGCTTTTGTACAGCTCTGATGAATTTTTTTTGCAATCTCTTCAGAGTCACTCTGGATGAGAAATATTCTCCTAGCTGCCCTTGTTAGTCAGAATGAAAACTAGTTAAAATAATGGCTGAAGAAGATTAGGATAACAGGTCAGAGAAAGGCAGTTAGGGGAGAGGTAACAGATAGCAAGGAGATCAGCTGAGTGGATCTGAAATGGGTCTTTTAATGAGAAGTGTGTGTGTGTGTCTGTGTCTGTTTGTCAGAGAGACAAAGGTATAGATATCAGAAAGATAGAAATAGGGAGGAAAAAGGTCATAGAGAATCAAACACATCTGAAAAAGATTTTGAGGCCTATCTAACTCCCCCACTCCGACTCATTTCCCTATACATGTTTGTATTTATATGCTTCATCGTCTCATTACTGATAATACATATACCAGAGACATTGCCGGAAAAGAATGTTTGGTTTTGCTGATTTGCTAAACCATGGTGGGGCTTGGAAAAGCCTGCTCCTCGGCGCTTTCCCACCCCAGCATTGCACGCACGCAGCCACAGCACACACACATCCTAGGCTGAGCAGGGCAACTTGGGATTCTGAGAGGCAACACTGGAGAGAGAAAAAGCCATAATTAGTGTTAATTGTTGACCCTACAGTTCAAGAATAGATGCTCTGGAGAATGGGAAATGAGAACAAACATTAATTATTGAGTAGGGACCTTGGAGACAGGCACGCTGGATTAAAAGGAGAGAGATAAATTGCATAATGAATGTTAATTTTCCCTCAAAGAATTGAGTGGTCGGTGGTTGGAAGGGAAAAAGAGGCTAAAACAATCATGAAAGAGAAAGCTCAATGTGTGTCAGGGTGAGAGGGTGCAGGAGGGTTATACAAACACTCTCCATCACGGCTTGCCCCTTCCTCACTCACAGCTCCAGGGAATCTGCGATCAGGGCTTTCCTTAGAACTCTTGTTATTTACCAGTCTTCTGTAGGGATGCTCAACCAGTTCCCCAAGAGCGCAAACGTCTGAAAACAGCCACGGTGCATGACAAGCAGAGAGGCAGTTTATTTTTACCGTGGAATTTATTTTTTGTGCACGTTGGTGGGAGTTTGACTTTAAATCAAGGGAGCTGTGGGAACCGAGGGCCACATGGGAAAAGACTGTGGTCCTGTGGGTGCCCCCACGGGGGGACTTGGGATCCGAGGTCTGGATTTTTGTTTTACCTTAATTATAGCACCCAAGATGCATGTGCATCCCCCCCAACCCCAAAGCAATCCTCTTAACTGAAAGCGAAAACAGAAAATGGTAGTTTGAGTAGAAAATTGGAGATGAGGATGTGCTAAGTCACTTCAGTCATGTCTGACTCTTTGCAACCCCATGGACTTGTCTCTCACGAGGCTTCTCTGTCCAAGGGGATTCTCCAGGCAAGAACACTGGAGTGGGTTGCCATGCCCTCCTCCCGGGGCTCTTCCCAACCCAGGGATCAAATCCAAGTCTTTGAAGTCTCCTGAATTAGCAGGCAGGTATTTTTACCACTAGTGCCACCTGGGAGATGAGAACTGTAGCCAATTTTGTGAAGAGACTACACACAGGCTTGTCACTGGCTGCTCAGATTCAATGTGCCAATGAGCCTCCTCACATGCGGCTGGTGGCCCTGGGGGCCGTCCCCTTGCCACATCTAATATGTCTGCCCACTGCCTGCCATCCAGGCCTCTGGCAGCTGCTGTCTGGATGGTTCTGTAGTCGTTTGAGCACTTGACCTTTTCTCCTGCCTGCTGCTGGCACCCCTGTTCCTGACACCCCTCCTCAGGGACCTGTGGTTTATTGTTGCCTAAAAAGCAGAATTTCAGCTCTTTTCTGGTGCACAAGGCCTTCCCTAGCCTGGTCTTGGCCTGCCTTTCAGCCCCATCTCCCCGCCTAAACCCCCAACGCCTGCCCCACTAGGCCTTCTTACAGGCCACTCATCATTTCCCCCATGGAGTATGCTTTCCTGTCTCTTTGGTTCATGCTGGTCCCAAGCTGGGTCATGTCTTTCTTCTTTGTTTATGTACTTCTACCAGTTTCTTAAAGGTCAGTGCAAATGGGAATTCCTCTGCAAAAATCCTTTCTCAACCCCCAGGTTAGAATGCATCACACCTTCCACCAAGGCCCCTGCATCCTGTTGTTTAGGCCACTGTTTCAACGCTCACCTCATTCTGCCTTGTGGGAGAGTCAGTTGCTGGTGAATCTGTTTTCATGTGGGCTGTGAAGTCTTTGAAGGCAGCAGCCACAGGGCCTTGTGCTGAGCCCTGGGCAGTGGAAAGAGAAGAGTACTGTTTCTGGAACAGACGGGCCTGGGAACAATTATGCTGAGCTGCTCCCCAGGGGTGGTTACTGTGCGCAAGGGGGTTAACCTTGTGTTTCAGTTTCCTCACCTGTGATGTGAATGAAAATACTCCCTTCATCGGATTATTGGGATGATGGAATGAGATGACATAGATGCCTGAGGATGTCTGCTCTTGGTATTAACATCCTTTTCTGTTCCTTGAACATGGTAGGCATCCTGTCCATTGATAGAGGAGTCAGACACAATGTCACGTGTCTTTTCTGTTTTAGGTCCAATGACATTTTATATTGGAATTTTACTTGATACTTTATAAGATGTACTGCATGTATGATCTGGTTTGGTTATCACAAAGCAAAGCAAACTAGGATGGCAGGTATTGTCATAGTTGCATTATATTAAGGAACGTGGTGAACTGCTGTAGGCTCCCCAGGTGGCACAGTGGTAAAGAATCTGCCTGCCAGTGCAGGAGATGCAAGAGACGTTGGTTCAATCCCTGGTTGGGAAGATCTCCGGGAGGAGCAAATGGCAACCCACTCCAGTATGCTTGCCTGGGAAATTCCATGGATGGATGAGCCTGGTGGGCTACAGTCCTTGGGGTTGCAAAGATTAGGACATGACTGAGCACACACACAAGCTGCTATAACAAAGAGGTTCAACAAGATAAACTTTTTTTTTTTTTTCAGGTAAGAGTTCTGAGGGAGGTGGGTGGACCGGGGTGGTCAGCTCCATGAAGTTATCCGGGCATTGTGGTTCCTTATAACTTTCGGCTTCATCATCCCCTAGAGCTCTTCCTTTTTCCATGTGTTTGAAGTTACTTCACCACTACCACCAAGTCCAAGGGGAAAGAAGAGGAAGCAGAGGAGGAAGAGGAGGAGGAGGGCAGTGGTTTCTTTTTAAGAAGGTGACCCAGAAGTTGTACACATTACTTCTGTTGACATTTCTTCAGCCACACCTGTCATACCTGGCTGCAATGGAGGCTGGGAAATTTAATTTCTAACCAGGCAGCCATGTGTTCAATTAAACTTCATGGTGAAAGTGAAGTGAATTTACTCAGTCGTGTCCAACTCTGCCAGGCTCCTCGGTCCATGGAATTTTCCAGGCCAGGGTACCTGAGTGGGTTGCCATTTCCTTCTGCAGGGGATCTTCCCAACCCAGGGATCGAACCTGGGTCTCCCACATTGCAGGCAAATGTTTTACTATCTGAGCCACTGGGGAAGCCAACTTCATGGTTCAGTTCAGTTCAGTTCAGTCGCTCAGTCGTGTCCGACTCTTTGCGACCCCATGAACCGCAGCACTCCAGGCCTCCCTGTCCATCACCAACTCCCGGAGTCCACCCAAACCCATGTCCATTGAGTCGGTGATGCATTCCAACCATCTCATCCTCTGTCGTCCCCTTCTCCTCATGCCCTCAATCTTTCCCAGCATCAGGGTCTTTTCAAATGAGTCAGCTCTTTGCATCAGGTCGCCAAAGTATTGGAGTTTCAGCCTCAACATCAGTCCTTCCAATGAACACCCAGGACTGATCTCCTTTAGGATGGACTGGTTGGATTTCCTTGCAGTCCAGGGGACTCTCAAGAGTCTTTTCCAACACCACAGTTCAAAAGCAACATATTAGGAGATTCTAAAGACAATAGGAATAATGGAAAAATATATATGGGGGAACAGATAAAATCTTTGCTACTCACAGTTTCAATCAATATTTATGGATAGTGTTCTGGGAATACCTATGGTGTTCTCTGGTGTATTCAGAAGTAAATGTGGGGGATATATCTACAGGAATTTTAAATCTCAGAGGAGAATGAAGAAAAAGAGTAAAAAAGATAGAAAAAAAAAAATGAGGGAGTGCCTGGTGAGAGACCCAGGTAGTAAGAATTAATAGAACCTGAGATAGTAGCAGTCAGTGTGGGCTTCGGTGGTGAGGTGGTGCAATGAAGATTAGACTTCAGCTAGTCCTTAAAGCCTAGAAACTAGAGGCAATAAGATTTAAGGAGAAGATCTTTGGCCTAAGTTGTTGCAGGAAGATCTGGGCTTGAGCCTTAGATTTGTCGCATAAAATCTGTGTGACTTTGAGCAAATCGCCATACCTCTCTGGACCTTGGTTTCCTTTCCACCAAATGAGTTTTCAACTGTGGTCTCATAGTTCTAGTGACTCCGCACAGACCCTACAGCCAAGAATCATTTCTGGAGGGAAAGAAT